CTCCAGGGCACCAAGGCAAATATTAGGGAGCCCTCAGATGAACATTCTCTGGGACCACAGCACATATGTCATTTGAATTCAATGGTGTACAAGTATCTAAAAGGAAAGAAAAGCATCAACCAACCATTAAATGAAAGGAAAAACCAAATTTTTTCTAGTTTTAAAAATTCAACCAGGGGGTAGCATTTTTAAATACCACACAGGTTGCATCATTATCTTCTCTCCTGGAGATGATACACTGAACAGATGAAGTAATACATTTGTGTTGTTATTGGCACACTGTCTGTCTGAGCCCCTGGTTTTAGAAGAGGCCAAGGAAGTTGGGATCTGGAAAAGCTGAGCAGCTGCAGGGATGATTATAAGTTGCCCGAGATGGAAACACCGTGTTACTATTCCATACAAATATGAAGAAGGTTACAAAATCTTAGCCATGACACTCCTTTAAAGATTATATCTATCTGAAGTCATATGACACTATGATTCTCAAAGAATGGCAGAGGTTGATATAAAACATCTTTAGGAAATGTTAAAAATCAAAGTGATAAAAACAGTAAGAAAGGGCAGAAATTAAAGGGACTATAGTCTCTTTTTCTTACTTTTATGACTATATAAGGATTTTATAAGACATTATGATGTACTACTTAATACCTTGTGTGATATCTAAGAACTCATCTTGAACAATTACTATTTGGTATTTTCTCTGTTCCAGGAAAGAACAATAAACATAATAGAGTGCCTACCCTTGGGAAGCCTATCTATCATAATAAAAGTGTAATATGCAAATTGGCCGAATGATTGAACAGCAGAATGACCATCCGGACGACCTTCTGGACGACCACGCTATGACACGCACTGGGGCCAGGCCAGCCAAGGCGGGTGTGATGTGATTGGTTGGGGGGCCCTGCCATCGCCCCACAATTGCCCCGCAGAGGGAGGCCCAGGCCACTGGCCAGCAATGCTGTGGCGGGTGTGTGGGGCTGGCCAGCGATCACCCCGCAGAGGGAGGCCCAGGCCAGTCAAGTGATCGCACCCCATGGCTGTTGTCCACAGAGGGAGGTGACCAGTGGCAGGGGAGGGGAGGCAGCGCTGCACAGATGGGAAGCAGTGGCAGCGGCAGAGGCGGGGCCAGCTGCCGGCAGCTGGGGGAAGGAAAGCCCCGATAGGCCCTGATCGGCCCTGATCGCCTGCCAGGCCTAGGGACCCTACCTGAGGGGTCCTGGATTGTGAGAGGGCGCAGGCCAGGCTGAGGGATACCCTCCCCCGATGTGCAAATTTCATGCAACGGGGCCTCTAGTACTCTAATAATGAGTTAGGCATTAAAAGATAACTACACAGATAAATATATACTCAATAGAGGTCAGGTACACGAAATTCGTACACTGGGGGGGCAGGGGGCTCAGCCCAGCCTGCACTCTCTCGCAGTCTGAGATCCCTCGCTCCTTACTGCCCACCTGCTCACTGCTCCTCGCTGCTCCTTAGCACTGCTGTGGAGGCAGGAGAGGCTCCCGCCACCATCGCTGCGCTTGCCAACAGTGAGCCTGAGCCTGGCTTCTGGCTGAGTGGCGCTCTCCCTGTGGAAGGGCACTGACCACCAGGGGAAGCTCCTGTGTTGAGCGTCTGCCCCCTGGTGATTAGTGTGCATTATAGCAACTGATCATTCTGGTTGTTCTGCCGTATTGGTTGCTTAGGCTTTTATTATTTAGATAATTGTGATAAGTCCCATGGAGGAAGAACACAGGAAGTCATGAGGATAAATAATAAGGGTGCCAACTGCAAACTAACAGAAGGTTGTCAGTTAAGGCATCCCTTGAGTTAGTAGCATTTATGGAAAGAACTGGTACATTGGAAAAGTTGAGAGAAGGCCAATATTGTCTTCAATTTTACTAATTCTTTCTTCTGCTGTATAAAATCTGGTACTAATCCATCTAATTCTTTTTCAATTCTATAATTTCCATTGGTTCTTTGTTACAGTTTCTTTTATTTTTCTCCTGAGACTCACCATCTCTTCATGTATTTTATTAATCTTTTTCTTTGGTCTTTATTTTAACCATTAAACAAATATTGTAGATTCCTGAAAAGTTTCAAAAATAGCAGAGAGGTTCCATGTGGCCTTCACCCAGTTTCTCCCCGTCACTAACTCCTGGCAACCACTAATCTGTTCTCCATCTTTATAATTTTATTTCAGGAGTGTTAGATAAATAGAACCATACAATATGTAATCTTTTAATACTCAGCATAATCCTCTTGAGAGCTATCCAAGTTGATGCATGTATCAATAGTTCATTATTTTTATATTATATATATTATAATATATTTTTATATTATATATATTATACTAGAGAGGGAGGAAAGGAGAGAGAGCGGGAGGGAGAGGGAGAGAAAGAGAGAGAGAGGAACATTGATGTGAGAATAAACATCAATTATTTGCCTCCCATACATATCCTGACCAAGGATCGAATCTGCAACCTAGAAATGTGCCCTGACCAGGAATTGATCCCACAACCTTTTTGGTGTATAGGAGGATGCTCCAACCAACTGACCCAGCCAGCTTAGCTAGATGGGAACATTTAAATTATTTATTAGCCAGTCAGTAAGTTCTCTTCAGAGCAATATATATTACCTGTATACATCTAGATATGATATAATATATTAAGTTTTTTTCCTGTCTTTATTTTTCCCTTAGCACCTTAGAAAATTCTCATATCCTAGTCTGGAATCATGGCAAATGCTCCACAAAACTGGTTAAATTTTGTTTTATAATCTTTTTATTTTACTGAAATAAATAGATTTCAGTTTGCTTGACCTTTCCATTTAATTACTCTCTATAGAACATTGCTTTTCTAGCCAATTGAAGGCATTTTCTCCTTTGTACCTTCACAGTTCTACCTATCTTTTAAGTGTCTACCCAGTTCATATGTTCTGAATTTTCCTACCAGTTCTACTCTGCCATTTTATATAAGGCATTCTTTATGTTACATCAGTTATCAGCCATTCCAAGCTATACAGAGTACTAGCTAATAGAGTGCAACTGAGATGGGGATGGGAATAGAAAAGAGGTGGCCTTGAAAACTATGGCTAAAATACTTCCATAGCTATTAGGGCTGCAATCAGACAGTGGGAAGCTTCTTCCTTTCAGATATATTCCTCAAAATAAATGCCATCCGGCCTCATTTTATAATCCCATCACCTCATAGGAGTATACTTTTCTTTCCCAGCAAGATTAGAGGATTCTTGAGGGCAAGTATCATGCCTATTCCTTCACTGTTAGCATCCAGTTTAGTGTTTCACACAAGAATAAAAATTTATTTGAATGCATTGGTTGGAATTTTGACCATGTGGCTGAGTCTGCATGTTTCCTTTGCTTATAACTTTCTAATTATCTGGCAGTGCTTGTCCAAATTTGAGATCTTACGAAAGAGCATGAAGATACACCTTGAAGACTCATAGTCTGGCTTCTGCCTGATTCTCCAGCCACATTTCATAGTCTATTTTCTCTCTCACTTACTGTGCTCTTACTACATTGGTTTTCTCTCAGTACTTTACGACATCTAGCAATTCCTGACTCAGAGCCTCGGTACTTATTTCCTTTGCCTACATGGGACAGGGTATGGTTGTTGCTTCTTATCTCTGAGGTCTCAGATCAAATGATAATTCCTCAAAGATGACTTCCTGGTCACCTGATTAAAGTCCCCTGTTGCCTCAACCTGAACCAAAACATGCTCATCCCCATTACTGTTTTTACTTTCTTCATAGCATGTACCTGTACCTGAAATTATCCTCTTAATGCTGCTTTGTGTGTATATTGCCTGTCTCCCCACGCTAGACTCTAAACTCCATGAGGGCAAGGAACTTTGTCCCATTCAGAGCAGTGCTCAGAACACTGGTTAAATGGATGGATATTTGAGTTGTCACCCTGTGTGCCGTCTTGAAAACAATTTGTAGTGAATACAGTATTTCAAAGTACATAATTTTAAACTGATTCCAGTAAAAATGGCATAGAAGAAGAGACTACAGAGATGTTTTAAAAGAATAAACAGTGCATTAATTTTCATTTAATTCCACCCACTGGGAGTATAAGTCATAAGATTGACTAATAAACAGCAAAAAGAAAAAGAGTGACAATATCTTGTATATAATGATAATAGCTAATACTTACTGAGTACTTACTATGTTCTAGGATTTGTTTTAAATAATGGACTTAAAAAACACCTCATTTAAGTTCTTATAACAAGTCTGATATAGGTATGCCATAATCATTTCCATTTATGGATGATGATATTTAGAACTGACATTAGATGAGGAGTTACATAGGTTGATTGGCCTGAAGTTATAAAGCCAGTGACTGGCAGAGCTGGGAATCTAATACAAGCAATTTGATTCCAAACTGTGTTTATAACCACTGTGCTCTATTGTCTCATTTCCACTTCCAGAGTACAGTGCTTATTCACTTTAGTTCTCATTTATTTATCAAGCACCTGGAATTATTCTTTTGCATATAGTTTTACTGCTATGTAGTTTAGAATAAAGAATAATGAACTTGAGGTTGAATTTTAGGTCCAGGTGTGATATTAATATATGTAAACATCAATCTAACTCCTTCCATCTTCAGTTCTCAAATACGTAAAATGAAGGAGTATTTGAGCCTTATTAAAGATAAACTAACATTTCTTTTCCCCTGTTGTGGAAGCCCTGAGCATCATGCTGCTGCTAAATTTCAGAATATTGTTAAGAATATGAATCCTCACCCAAGGATATTTTTCAACTGAATTTTTGAGAGTGGAAGGGAGAAAGAAAGACACACAGAGAGAAACATCGATGTGAGAGAGACACATGGATTGGTTGCCTCCTGCACACCCCCCAACAGACAGAGGCAGAGATGGATCCTGCAACCAAGTTGCATGCCCTTTACCAGAATTGAATGCAGGACCCTTCAACCTGTAGGCCGACGCTCTATCCACTGAGCCAAACCAGTTAAGGCTTAGGAATATTTAATACATTACCTGGACTTTATTCATCTCCAGTTTGTTCTTATCATTGGCACTCTGGTTTTGTTTGCCAGCTCCCTTTTTCCGGGGGCCTTTTCCGAAGAAGATGTAATTTACAAAGGCGTATTCCAGCAGAGCCAGGAACACAAACACAAAGCAACCCATCAGGTAAATATCAATTGCTTTGACGTACGGGATCTTTGGCAGGGTCTCCCTGAGGTGAGTGCTGATGGTTGTCATTGTCAGCACCGTGGTGATTCCTAGGAGATGGAAAGATACAGCTTAGCTGAATGCACTTGTTAAGTTGCCCTTTTTAAGATTGAGAAGACAGATGCCATTCCCTTATTGAAGCCGGAGAATGATGGCGGTAATGCAATAAACCACTGGGCAGAAAGGGCAAACATTTTGAAAGCCAAAACTGCAGACTCCCTACATAGTCCATGAACAAATCATAAAGTGGGATGTGGCACTAATGGAGAGTTAAAAAACATTAAAAATAATGCATCAAGAAAAAAGACAAGTGGATGGAAAGGCATATCAAAATCCCATTGACATGCCTACTGACTAATGCCCAATACCCCTCATTCTATTATATGTTACATCTTTCTTCTTCTTTTAGCATCTTATCTCCTTTCTAAATCTGTTTTTGTGATACTAATCCCCACAGCAGCCACTACCAAGCTGAAAGTTGGTGACCAGTTTGAGGAAACCTACCTCATTCCATGATTCTGTAATGCACCTAGATCACAAGGTCAGTATTACATTTTAAAATAAACCGATAGAGACAACACTAAAAGAAGAAGCATATAGGAAAGTTCACGATTTTCATTAATCACTTGATTTATGTATTTTTTAGATATAATAAAATCTTGTTGCATTGGATTTTCAAATATTACCTCTAGTTTCTTGATTCCAGAACCTAGAATGAATTAGTTCCTTGGAGCCAAGAAAAGACTTCCTAAAAATTTCAACTTGGTTTTGTTAAAGAAGTTTAAGGTTGTAAGATCTTAAAGGGAAGATTTCACATTACAAACTTTGTTAAATATAGCATTCTTAACCATATAATGTTGTGTGACTGCACAATAAGTATTTGGTATTGATGAAATGGTAATTGGAAAAACTAAGAAGTGCAAAAGAGGTTGGAATCTCATGTACATAGTTTGTGCTGTAATACTAATATTACGCATTTGTATAGTGTTTATAGTTGGTTATGAATTATCTTATTTGGCTGTTATAAGACCTTGCTGAGTGTGATAGGGCAGGTATATTATTTCCATTTTATAGTTGAATAAAGATAAACTCTGAGATTATTTTGGTGTAGATCACACAGCTAGGGACAAAAACAAGCAAGGAGCTGTTAAACAAAGGCATTTAAAATAAAAGCAGAGATTAAAAAACAACACCTGAAACTTGATGGCAGTCCTTAAAAATAAAGACAGAAAATATGAGTTGAATATTACAGACAAAGGAAAGCTGGCAACAGGTATGGAAGGTAGAAAATGAAAAGAGAAAAAAATAGTTTAGTACTCATTTGCTAATTGGATTATTCTAGATAGATTCCCTGATTTGACTATTCAACATTAGGAAAACAGACAAAGTAGGAAGTCAAGACTACAATACAAAAAGTTAAATTGGCTTAGATGGGTGATGAGCTCAATTGTGCTGCAATGATATGAAATACCATCATGAGTGGTCTTACTTTCGAATAAAATTTTAAATTTCACCTAATATAATTCTAGCTAATAAACAATTCATTTACAAATCCACTAATTGTATTTCTGCTTTCACTCCTTGGTTTAAATTTTTAAAGCAAGATGGGTTAGTAAATGAATGTCTTTTCTAGTCAGATAAGTATTAAAATATCACAGGTTTTACATCTCAAAGTACAGGTTAAGTCAGCATATTTATATGCTGATATCTCTAATCAAAATATCATTAACTTTGAGGACAGAAGTGTAGGGAAAACCACAATTTATGACCTCGGTAGTTGTTATTCCTCACTCTGGACATCATCCAGTGAGTTTTCCTTAACCATAGCACACATATACTCATATTCACATTACAGTAACGTGTAGCTACATACATATGATGTAATAAACTATTAGTTTACTTTTCTTAGTCTTGGAATGTTCAAAAGTTAATAAGGGACTGTCAGCACTTGACTTTATGAGCTTTATGTACCCAGCCATTAGAAATAAACTGGAGAGATGACAATTAGTCTAGGCATGATAAGGTATCTGATCATCTTACCAGTTCAGTAATCTCGGAAGAGAAGAGAGGTATGTTAGCTTAGCCAGAAATTATGCTCGTGTGTGTGTGTGTGTGTGTGTGTGTGTGTGTGTGTGTGTGTGAATAAGCCCCAGAAAGTGGTAACTGAAATGGCTCTATGATAGAGATCCACATATGCTCAGATTCATCAAACAGACTATACATTCTAACTTTCCAAGGAACCATTTAAAGTCTCAAATATAGCCTTACAGCTTGCAGCAACTACTCAACCATGGCAAGATTAATTCTGAATCCCCCCCACCCCCCACCAGGATGGAAACCATTTTCATTCTGTGCTGATCACAGAATAGAGCTGTGAATTATCTGTGCCTAGCTCATTAATATAGCTGATGAATTATCTGTGCCTTACTCAAGTATGATGAGCTCCATTTAAGGGACACTCAGATCAATAAGATTTAACTTTAGTGAATGTTCGAGAGAATTTCCCAACATTCAACATAGCTTGGTAATAGTTATGACATCTATTTTTCTTCAAATCCATTTGAGAATAATGCACTGTAAATATTCTCCACTGCAAAAAGTAGGGACTGAAGAGAAAATCATCACACCGCTAGTAAAAATTAGTGTAATAAGAATTTAAAAAATATACTCTAAGAAACACTTACATAGTATTGAACATACTCCAAGATCCTTTTTTAAGAGCAGTATTTTTAGCAAAATGCTGAAAAGGTATGGCATTGTAAAACATTCACTCTGTAAGAGCTTACACTTAGGTGCTTTATCATCAAGGACTCTTATGTTAGTTGCATTCTTTGGATTGCTATGAGAGAAGACCCTTGTCTATAATTCCAAACACTGGTTATTTGTTTAAAGCTAAACCCCACCAGCTCTCTGTGGTGCTGGCAGTGCATTACCTAGTGCGACTCTGGCTGCAGAAGCATCATAGTTGATCCAAAAAGACACCCAGGACAGAATTGTAATCAGTGTGGAAGGCATGTAGGTCTGCAAAATGAAGTAACCGATGTTTCTCTTTAGACGGAAACTTAGTGATAGTCGTGGATATGACCCTGAGTTGAAAAAAATAAGAGAAAGAATCAGATCATCACTTGGTTGAAAACATCTTCTTTCGTTCGCAGTGCCCTAGTTTATTTTGGAGGAAACATCCTCACCAGTTGTGAACTCCACCTTCTTGGACACCATCTTGTAGTCGACAATTGAAAACTGAGGAAGCTCAATTTTATTTACTCCGGTTACTGCTCCCTCTCCTCCATTCCAGTAAAACTCAATGTCATCAGTAGTATAGCCATCTGAAACCAAGAATACGGCATAGTTAAATAGAGTCCAGTTGGTCTATAGTGGTCGGCAAACTGCGGCTTGGCAAACCGCGGCTCGCGAGCCACATGCGGCTCTTTGGCCCCTTGAATGTGGCTCTTCCACAAAATACCAGCTCTTCCACAAAATACCGACTTCTGTGCACAGGCCACGAAGTTTCAATCGCATTGTACGTGCGCACCCGCATGTGGTATTTTGTTGAAGAGCCACACTCAAGGGGCCAAAGAGCCGCATGTGGCTCACGAGCCGCGGTTTGCCGACCACGGGTCTAGGAGTTTATTTGAAGACTGAGAGCTGAAGACACAATTCCCAGCAAGTGATGGTAAGATGACTGTGCTTTAAATCAGGATTCTAAGTAGAGTTGTAGTGAAATGCAAATTTCCCCCAATTCTCATTATTCTACAGCTTAGGCTCATCAGAGGGGACTGAGTGCACTGTGGCCGAGATTCTAGTAAAGATGAACCATGCCTACAATGCTGTTCTTTTTATAGAATCGAATGGACATTTGTGTGATTATGTGACTGTGTGATAATGGAAGCCCTGGTGGAAGGGGTGGGCCCGGTCAGAAAGGCATAGCCTTAGGAACCAGCAGCTGGGACCAGCCTGTGTTTCTATCCACTTAACTCAGATCCACTGAGTCTGCTCCCTGCCAGGATGAAAGAAATGAGCTTTCAGGATCATTTGGACCTTTCCCTCTTCATAGCCATAGAAGTGCCTTTCTATCACAGAATCAGATCAGTCAAAAAATTCAGTCAATGAGATAGAAACAAACCAATTGGCCTGGAAGAAGAAGTGCTGGTGCCAGGCCTGGGGGAAGTTTCTCCCATGGACCTTTTTTGTCGGATGAAAAATGCCCCAGCATCAACCATTTAGGAAGCTGGCATGAGAAATCAGCTTTTTCAAAAAGATGGATGGAATCAACATAGAGTTTAGTTTTAAAAATCCTTTAAGAAGCCAAGACAATATATCCAAAATTTCATGTTGTCTTCTTGTCCGGCTTGATCTGAGTGTGGATTTTTCACTAGCCTGTCTCATACCCTTTGCTCACCTGTATGTGGGCCTAGGTGGTCTTTCATTCAGGCAGGTTTTTGGCAGGCTCCTCACCTCGCACAAATGAATAGCTCACCTATTCTGAGCTAGACTGAACATGAGTTTTCTTTTAGTTGACAACATAGAATATTTGAATTACAAGTATTTGTTAGGGAGAAAGTTCTTAAACCCAGTATCTAGTAACTCTCTGTGGAGAGAAACATTATTTATAGATCAAAGCCTACATACCAACCTTTGCCCTCATCTCAATTTGGGGCTGGATTCATTCACCTATAGTTTTTGACCTCATTATGCCTGTCATTAGCTTGATGATGACCCTGGGTGTCCCCTCTCTAGTAGGCAACACACACACACAGGGCTGATAGAACACAACTTCTATGTGCTTCCCAGGAGAGGCATCTGCTTGCTTACATCCCCTTCCCGAGCGCTCTAATGTGGGCTTTGCTGACTCCTCTATGCTGCCATGGACAACTCTGGACTCAACCTCTTGTCTTCCTAGACATCCATCAGGACTCCTGCTGAAGCATACAACACCACCACCTTTAAACTGGCAAGGCAAATGAATGGAAATTATGTTCGATATTCCAGTACACATATATTGAGTGCCTACTATGTGTCAAGCACTATTCTAGGTACTAAGCATGTAGAGTGTCTAGGAATAGACCTAGTTCTGCTTTCCAGGATCTCATGATCTAACAGCAGTCTCAGCAAATTGTCGACCTGAGGGAATTAGAGATGGCTTTGCAGAGGGTTTGGCCAGATGGCTAGAGCAGACCTGCTGGCAGAGAGATTACTTATTACATAGAGTGAATAACATAAAGGAAGCTGATGTCAGTGTCAAACTGATTTACTTCATAAAGTTTATTCAGTAAGCAATTTAATTTTAGCAGGAAAACGGAAACTTGCAGGGCAAAGTTGAATACATACAAACACTGTAACATCCTTAAAGATTTCAGTATGCAAAGGTAAAACTGAGCTGAGAAGAATAAAATGATTAGGTAGCCATGACGGAGTATAGGAAGAAGTGTGGACAGATACCCAAGGCAACTAGTCACAGACTTTCTTGCCCACAATTGCCTTTTATTACTTAGACAATGTGCTCACCTTGAACAAAGCACAGAACCATGGTGAATTTTACTTGCTTTATCTGTCTTTCACCCACCAGGCTCTGAGTTCCTTGATCAGGGACTGGTTCTCATTCCTTTCTATACCTCAGTGTCTATGTACCAAGCTCCTAGCATATGGTGGTATCCAATAAAAGTATGTAGAATATTGCATTCTTGCTTCTCATCATCAAGACTCCCGGCTTTGTGTTACCAAACTTAACTTTACAACCAGGCACTAACCTATGTACATGTCTCTACTCATTCAACGAGTAGATATTTATTGATTACTGAGTAAGTGTCAGATGGTGGAAACGTCCTGGGAGCATAAAACTGGCCTGGCTCTTGTCCTCTTGGAGCCTGCAAAGAGTATCTTAATGTTATACATTTCACAAAATTCCTTCCGTGGCAGGTATCTGTCTGGACTGGCTTCCGTTAGCATGTTCTCATCTCCTTTAGGAAAGATAAAAACTACAGATTCCCTTGCAACTATGGTTGTGGACATGATTTAGGTTCCCTGGATCAGACAGAGTTAAATGATGTCAGAGGTGGTGTTGGAGGCACTCATTTGTTGGTGCAACTCCTACAGTATAAGTATCTCTGGACCCAGGAATTCTGGTTTTAGCTTTGGTGGTCCTCAAGTCAACGCCAGCTTCCTGATTGTGATGGAGCTATCCGTAGGACAGTCCGCACTGTGGTCTGGGAGTCATTTCCAGTGGCCCTGCCTGGAGCCTACTACTTTAGTTCTTTAATTTTGTAAGCACTACTTCTCTGTATTAAGTCTCTTTCTGCTTAAGCTAGCCAAATGGACTTTCTTTATCTGCAACAGAACTGCATTCTCTCTTCTAGGGAAGAATTATTTGCTCCAGGTTTGGGATTACCAGGGCTTTACATTAAAACCTCTGTTGTGGATTGTGCCAGCTATTCATTTGGTGTTTCTGAATCTCATATCTTGCTTTCTACACGTTGCTCTGTACTATTGGGCCTAGGCTCCCTGTCTCTCCAGCTTCATGTTAGGTGCTGTCTTTCGGAAGAACTGGCTGGAGATTAGAAGGTGGAGGGGAGGGAAGGCTCTTGGTTCTGGCTCTGGAAGTGGTGGTGCTGCAGTTGCTTGTGATTGCTGCCAGGGCGGTGGGGTGATTCAGACTTTCACAGCTGAAGAAGGAGCAGCACCTCTTTTTGCAAGTTCATAGACATCTAGAACAGCATCTCTCATAGGAACACAGCAGATTCAGGCCCATGGGCTCCAGGACAGGGCTACTAGCAGCTTCTGCCCTTTGCACTCTTTTCTCCTCCTTCCTTTTGCTTTTCCAGCCTTTCCCATTTTGTAACCAATTCTCTCAATTAAATTCCCTTTTCAAAAACCCTGAGTGGTTTCTGTGTTCCTGATGAGATCCTGTCAATTATACAGTATATCGTAAATGCAAATATTTTATCTGTGTATATAACTGTGTTTACCTCTGCCTTTGTCATCTCCATTGTACTAGTATATTATTATTATACTACTAGAGGCCTGGTGCACGAATTTGTGCACAGGTGGGGTCCCTTGGCCTGGCCGGCGATTGGGGCAATTGGGGCCATAGGAGGTTGGCCGGGGGGAGGGGCCGTGAGAGGTTCCGATTAGGGCCGATGGGGCCAGCCGGCCGGAGATATGGACCATGGGAAGTTGGCCAGCTGCGGGAGGTTGGCTCTGGGAGCACACTGACCACCAGGGGGCAGCTCCTGCATTGAGCGTCTGCCCCCTGGTGGTCAGTGCGCATCATAGTGACCGGTCGACAGGTTGGTCATTTGTTCGGTCTCTTAGGCTTTTATATATAGATGTTATATTATATTATAAAGTTTTGAAAGCAAGGACTTTTTTTTATTCATTTAAAAAAATTCCTGATGCCTAGAACAGATTTTGTCTATAGTAAGTACCCCATGCATATTTTTGAATCAGTGAATTAGTGAATACTCTTTGCTGCTTAGAATTCTAACTGTTGTCCCAAACCACTAACCTGATGTAGGTAACTTACTTGGTAGAGTTCATGAGCTACATTTATTCCTTGATAAAGATGATTCTGCTCACAGGGGCCTTATAGGTAGATCTAGGCACCATTAAAATGGAAAACCTGCTTGTTAATTTTAGGCTAACTGAGTAACGAAGTGATAAATTACAACCTCAAGCTGGTTTTTGAGTTATAGAATCCTAGGGGAGAAACATAAGCGATAATTAGAGTTGAGAGTCCAGAGATGGCTTGCAGTTTGGAGGTGAGAGGGGTGGAGGCAGTGGTGGGCAAAAGGGCACTCCTCAATGTCTCCCACCTGTGAAGAGTGACAGAACACCTCAAGGCCATGGACAATCAAAAAGCTGGGATATGGCTATCAATCAATTAATGCAGATTTTAATAGTATTCAACAGTTTATATGGTCAGTGGTCTGGGTCTAGATTTCCAAGCTCACTTGCACTTTGTTTAACTAAAACCTGTTAGGCTTAGTGTTCAAGGCACTGAGATAATTATGGATGATATGGAGGGAAAAAAGAATGCTCACTCCATTTCTGTAGAAGTTTGAGTTCTCCTGGGAGCCATAATGGCAGCTGGATTCAAAGGAAAGAATAAAGGCCTACAAATACACTATTATTCAAAGGTTACACAAGAACATTTGTTACAGAGAGAGAGAACATCAATTTACTCACACCTAAACAACCTATTTACCAAAGGTTTTCCTTTATGAACCAGTGGCTTCACACAGTGTCTCAAAGCTCAAACACTTGGATACCAAGGATGTTGTTTCCTAGCAACAGTAACTACACAGAAGCTCTCAAATTTTCCTCTCAGCCCCCAGGGACTTCTTAGTGATGCAGAAAGTACAGATAAAATTAAGTTGATGTCAGTGGATAAAGATGCATGGAGCTAGTACAAATGCAGAAGTGTCTGGATGTTATTGTTCTTCTTTGCTATTTGAAACACTCTATTTAGAATGCATTTTCTAATCTGGAAATAAAAATTGCTCCCTGCTGTGCTTAATAGAGCTAGGAGGATGGTCTAAAATTGTACTTAACTGAATTTTAGATAATGTAGAAATTTAAGCTTTTAATCCATGAGTGAGCCTAAGTAAAATGTATATCCCTTTGTGGAGCAGTCATAGCCTCATCTTTGGTTTCATGGTGTGGGGCTTGATTGGCTTAGGCCAATTATCAAAATATCTTCTCTATGGTATTTTGCTATGGTGACTGGCTCATGGTTTGGCAATAGACAAGCCTAAGACAACTAGTTCATAGCAATGCCCTAGCCAAATTAATTGCTTAAAAATAGACATGTGACCCAAGTTGGTCCAGTCCTAGAGAAACCCAGGACTTTTTTCCAAATGTTGGAGGGCAGAGATTTCCCCCTTGCTTTTAGCTGTTGGCAAATAAGAAATGCTGAATTGAGAGTGGCTGAGCTGGTTACAGGAGCCAACATGTTCCTTTCCTGCTTTCATAGTCATTACTAGCACCTAATTGAAGTAAACTTGTGATCAACATTTTGTTTTTTTTCTTTTTTAATGAATTTATTGGGGTGATATTGGTTAATAAAATTATATAGGTTTTAGGTGTACAGTTCAATAATACATCATCTGTATATTGCATTTGTTGCGCTGTGTGTTCCTGCCCCAAGTCAAGTCAACTTCTGTGATCAGCATTTCAACTGTGGTTAGAAAATGACCCAGTGAAATAACCTTAGTTGTCTGCTACTCCCCATTTCCTTCTACTCCTCCCACGTGAGGGCAGAAATATTAGAAATTTCTCAGTATCACTGCTCTGTATATGTGCAGATCCTTTCCATGCCAAGATGATTAGATAGTTGTAATTGTGCATCTAGACAGAGGATAAGAAATACAACTGGATCGAAGAAAGCCAAGTGGCTCCCTATCTGTTACAACATTTATTCTAAAGGCTATTTGAGATTCCTTTCTCTCCCATATCTGTATCTCCATGATATCCTAAGAAGCAGAAAGCATACCATGGAAGCCAGATTTTTAAAGTACTCTAACAGCACTGAAAACCCCTAAGTACAAATCGATTCAACAATCCATAGACTGTTTGTCTTCTACCTGACCACCCACCTTCTGAGTGGTAAGTCATTCAGCTGTTAGAGATGGCCATCTCACTATTTTCTCAATTAACTCAGTAGTTGATTAGGATTTTAGGTAATAATTAGAGAGCATGACCTTATAATAAGTAAAAGTTCATCTTCTTGGAGGGCATTCACCACCTGATCCTTGTCTACCCCCAGTTTGCTTTTCTGCCCCTTGAAGTGTGAAGTCCTAAGCTGAGAAGTGGGCATGTCTACCCGTCTCTTCTTCCTCGGAGTTATCTGGCTCCTTTCCCTGTCTTGACTCACTCCCGAGGTTACTCCTGCTCTGGTCGTTGAGCCACTTCTGACTGGTTTAGGAATTAAACAGCAACAGATTTGGAATTACTTCATGTCCTTCAGATTTAGAATCTTAGAGTCCAGACATGGTTCCTGGTTTCTTAAGCATCCTCTAAGAGGCCCCCTGATTTCCAGGCAGGCCTAGGACCTGATTCACCAGGAACTAAGTCAGATTCTCAGGTTTTTCCCATTCTAGGCAAGCCTGCTACTTCATATCTCTTTGCTTAACACTGTCCCAGCGGTTCTCAACCTGTGGGTCACCAACAATGAAAATACATCCTGCATATCAGATATTTACATTACGATTCATAACAGTAGCAAAATTACAGTTATGAAGTAGCAACGAAAATAATTTTATGGTTGGGGGTCACCACAACATGAGGAACTGTATTAAAGGGTCGCGGCATTAGGAAGGTTGAGAACCACTGGAACCTTGACTACCCCAGATTATCCTCGTTTAAAGTCTTTTGGCCCCCACGCACTTTTGCTTTTGGATAATAAACCTTTGCACAGTATAACAAACACATTAAAATGCATTCATAGTCACGTTAAATATTATTTACATGTCACTATAAAAGCTTTAGATTTCAGCTGACTTGGTATCACAATGTTATATTAGTTTTAACATT